AGAAAGAGTATATATCTATATATAGTATATATATCTACATATATATGATATATATGGAGAGAGAGAGAGGAGGGGGGGAGTGAGAAAGAGAGAGAGAGACAGAGAGAGAGACAGAGAGAGAGAGAGAGAGAGAGAGAGAGAAAGTGTGTGTGTGTGTGTGTGTGTGTGTGTGTGTGTGTGTGTGTGTGTGTGTGTAGGAGAGAGCTTTGGGAAATATCCACAGTTAGGGAACATAGTATGGTTGATGAACCAGCAAAAAAGACTGATATGGAGTGATTAGACAGGGAAGAAGAGAACCAGAAGTGAGTGGTATCACAAAAGCCCAGACCAGAGACAGTATTCAGGAGAAAATTGTGGTCAACAGTGCAGATGGAATATATTGATCTAGAAAGATGAGGACCCAAAAAAGAGCAGAAAATTTAGTAATTAAGAAATTGATGTTAACTATATGTTTAATTCCTTAATCAACTATCAAATGAAAAAAACATTTCTAATCATTTAGCATAATGCCTGGCCTATAGTAGGCTCTTAATAAATGATTGTTCCCTTTTCCTTCCTAAGAACAAACAAGTAATAATAAAGTCACTAAATATGCTATTTGTTAATGATTAAATCAATTATAGACTTAGATATTTTTTCCCACTATTTTACCTGAGACTAGTCACTTCAAACCCTCACTGTTACTGAAGAAGACTTATCTTCTTAAGAACACTCTCATCCCATTTAGTTTATTCAGTATAACGAATAATTTGCCAGAAAAATATTTGCCATGATCCTTAAGATAAAGGTTACAAGTTTCATAAAGAATTTCTTCTTCAATCTTTTCACTGTTCTCAATCAATTTATTAAGCACCTACTATGTGCCAGGCATTGTTCTAAGAGCTGAGGACGAAAGAAGCAAAAGAGTCTCTGCCCTTGACAAGCTTACAGTCTAATGGAAAAGACAACATGCTAATAAGCTAAATACAGAATACATAATTAAGAGGTTTGGAGAAAGTCTTTCTGTAGAAGATGAGATTTTAATTAGGATTTAAAGGAAGCCAGGCAGGACAGTAATCAGAGTTGAGGAGGGAAAATATTCTAGATTGGGGGTGGAGTGGGGTGGGGGGATGGAGTGGGGTGGGAGAGGGACTAGCCAGAGGAAATTTTTATTATTAGGTCTTTCTCTAGCCATGATGGGAAAATAGACTCTGCTTTAAATGACAATGGTTACTCTCCAAGCTTTTCTGTGCTCAAAAGATCCTGTAATAATTTCTATAAAAGAGGCATTTGCAAACAGAGGTTACAAATACAGAACAAGATCAATAAGAGTTCAAAACTGGGAGAGAGGAAGAGTCAGGTTCTGCCTCTAGTAAATATGAGCAGTGTGATTGCAAGTAAGTCACTGCCTATATGTACAAAAATATTTATAGCAGCTCTTTTTGTGGTGGCAAACAATTGGAAGTTGAAGGGATGCTCATCAATTGAGGAGTGGCCGAACAAGTTGTGGCATATTATTGTGATGGAATACGATTATGCTATAAGAAATGATGAGCAGGTGGTATCAGAAAAAAAAGTGGCAAGATTTATATGAACTGATGCAAAGTGAAGTGAGAAGAACCGGCAGATCATTGTGCACAATAACAACAATGTTCTAATGATGATCAAACTGTAAAACACTTGGCTATTCTGATCAATACAATGATCCATAACAATTCCAAAGGACTCATGATTAAAAATGCTATCCACCTCCAGAGAGACAGCTGATGAATTCTGAGTTCAAATTGAAGTATAATTATTTCTCTTCTTTTTGCGATTTGGCTAATATGGAAATGTCCCACACAATTTTGAGTAAATAATTGATATCATATTGCTTGCCTTCTCAATGAATGGGGGAAGGGTAGGAAGAGGGGGGAGAATTTGGAACTCAAAATTTAAGAAGAAAGTATGTTAAGAATAAATAATATTTTAAATAATAAATATTATTAAATAAATAATATTTTAAAAGTTGAGAAGTAAATTTTTTAAAAAGTGAGTCACTCTTAGCTTCAGACAACTCCCTACAATAGGAGTTCCCAATTTTTATTGTTCCCCATATCCTTTAACTTTTCAGTAAATTTTACTGTACCACCAGTAAATACGAAAGGAAATAAATTCTAGATTTTTCATGCATACATACATGAGAAATGAAAAAGATTAACTTTTCTTCTCTAAGGTTACATAAGAATTTAGTAACTTCATTGACTGGAAATCACTTGGGAGTTTCTGGAATATCTCAATAGGATTATGGGCATTTTGGACAATGTACTTGTACCCTTTGGAATAATGGGAACAACAGTTTTAGAACCCCCTGCTCTAAGATTTAAGTTATGGTTGGTGAAAGTATCAATAAGCTTTCCAAGGCATCTAACTTATTGGGGAATGAAATAGGCACTAGAAGAATGGAACTGAATAAGTGCCAACAATCTAACATAAAGGAACAGGATAAAGATAAATTTGAGGTGCCTTCTCTCCCAGTGTATTTTCTTTTTAAAAAAAGTTTTTTGGGGGGGGCAATTGAGGTTAAGCGACTTGCTCAGGGTAACTAGTAAGTGTCAAGTGTTTGGTCTGAGGCCAGATTTGAACTCAGATCCTCCCAATTTCAGGGCTGGTGCTCTATCCACTGTGCCACCTAGCTGCCCCTGTCTTGACATATTTTCAACCTAGTTAAAGGGATCTCAATTTTCCTATCTTTTTCCCTTTCTCATTAACACAGGTAACCAGGGGCCTCTTGGGATGGTAATGATTTACACTTTCTTCTCTTGACAGAAGGGCCTTTTCTTCTTTACACCTTAATTTCTATTGGTTCCCCACTAAGCTGTAACCCTTATCTTTCATTTCTCAGTTCCATAATTTTCTTTTTGATCATTTTCCTACATGTTCAAGAACTAATAATATCTGCGATACTGGAATATTGGTTGCTGGTTGTTGTAGCCTAATAAATACTTGGAATATTGCTGTTTTTAGATTATATAATAAGACTTTGATTCAATTCAGCAATTTATCAATCACTGACTTGGTGCAAGAACTATGCTAGATATGAAGATACAAAAAAAAAAAATCCAAAACCTCCCTCCTCTCTCAAGGCACCTGGAAATATCATTAAATATTCAATCAGCCTGTGTTCATTAAACTTTTCTTTATGAGTAAGGCTACTAAGTGTTGGACACATCCATCAATCAACAAACATTTATTAAAGTGCCCACTATGTACCAGGGCACTGTGCTAAGCTTTAGGAATACATAAGAAGCAGGAGCTTAAAAAATAATGGGGGAGACAACATGCAAACAATATATACAAAGCATGTATTTGTGTGTGCGTGTGTGTTTGTGTGTGTGTGTGTGTGTGTGTGTATACATGGAGAAATAAGAAATAATTAACATGGGGAAGGCTGAGGCTTGGCTGGGCAATAATGTGACTAGAGTTGTATTGGTTTCCCAAGGGGTCAAGTTGGGGAAAAAATGGAGAGTGGCTAGTGCAGAGGAGATGGCCTAGTAGAGTAAGGAATAGTCAAGTGATTGGAAGTCACAGAGCAAACAAGAATAGGGTTTTGTAAGGCAAGGCAGAGCAAGAATTGAAAAACGAAAGGTTAGGGCTGCCTAAGGGGATTTCAGATTTCTTGAACACAGAGGTGGTACATTTGTGAGAGATGGCAAGAGCAAGGGTATGCCCATCTTTGTGTGTGGCTGAGGTTGAGTGTAGGAGTAGCAGCTCATCCCGGAAGCGAGTGCGTTGAACTGAGTAGGAGTTGTCTGTCCCTTCTCCAACAGCACTGAGACGTCAGGGAGGTGATGCCATGAGGTGCGAGTGAATCAGATTACAGTGAGGGAGGACTGTGCAAAGTCACCAGCCTCACTTTCTTCTCCGCAGCCATCCGGGTCCAGTGGTAAGATATAGATCAGGACGACTGGTAACGGCTCTGCATGCATATGGATTTGACGAAGAATCCTTATGTACGCTGAAGTCCCCTAGTGAGTGCAGGAATTGGGGAAGATATCAATCATACTTGGTCCCTGCATTCAGTCATCTCCAGCATTTAACTAGAGGCAGCATTTGTCTGGCTTAGGCACCTCGTATCTGCTGAAAGTAGAATGAAATATAGCATAAAAAGGTATGGTGGGAGTGTGTGAAGTTTGTGCCGCCAGAAGGGATACAAACAAGCAGTGATCTCTTATCATCAATCAATCAAGTATTTATTAGTCACTGCACTACGTGCGCCAGACACTGTGCTGGGCACCGGAGCACAAACGACGAGGCCGGTAGAGTGGTGAATCCCACGGCAGGGCAGTGCCCGGGCCGTCTCTGTCTCTACAAGTGTCATTGCCGCACACGGTTCTGTACAAAGACCTGCAAACTCTGCAGAAAGGAATGCTTACTCCCTTTTACAGGGGGTGGGTGGGAGAAGGGGTACACGAAACATCGCAGCGCAGCAGAGTAAGCTGGAGAGCTAGCTCGGCCTCTCCCCAACACGGCTTTAGGGGCGGACCAAGGTTAATGGCCAGCGGGCCTGGCTCGATACTCCTCTTTCGGGGCCCGGACGCGCCCAGTCTGCGCTCAGGGTCTCCAGGCTGCAGCGGCTGTGGCGCGCCGAGGAGAGACCCCGGCGAGGAGTCAGTCCGGGCACGAGTGCAGAGCCCGCGCTCGGGTGTCAGCCTGGGCCCGATGCGTGTCTCAGGGCGGAGATCGCGAGTTTAGAAGATGCCAGCCACGCCCCCGCCTGCCAGTTATCTCCCCGCCTCCCCCCTCCATCTTTCCCTCCCTTCCTCTGGGGCTCCCCTCTTCATGCTCTCGCGCCGAGGCTCTCATTGGCGCCTGAGCCCCGGTGACGCAACGGCTGGCGGGCCTAGCGGGCGGGCCGCCCTGGGGTAGGGGCGTCAGTGTGTGGGTGGGGGGGAGGAGGGCGCGGGGAGCTGGGCGGGCTGAGCCTGCGCGAGTCTGATGAAACCCAACCCCTGGATTTCGTTCCACCTCCCATTTCATTCACTGAAGCGCGGGGGACTGGGAGGCGGTGCCTGCAGCCTAGAGGTAAAGAGTGCGAGCTAGTCTCCAGGAGGGGAGACGGGCAAACGGCCGGGGCGCCACGCAGCTCAGCTCCGCACCAGAGGCAACCGCAGCCCGCACCAGCGGCCAGCATCCTCCCCGGGACCCGAGCCGCGGTCGCGCACCTTCCTCCCCGGGGCTCCAGGCCACGCCGGCAACACCTCCATCCATCCATCCCTCTCCTTCCGCGCGGCGCGCCCGCCGCATCCCTCCTCCAGCCAGGCCGGCTGCCTTGACAGCTGCTCAGCCCGGTGAGTGACCAGTGTCCCCGCCCTTCTGTCCGGCCGTTCCCCAGCCAGGGGTCACCTTGGTTGGGTGCCCAGGCACCGGCTGGGCTAGGGGATGGAGAACAGTGCTTGTTGGAGCGGGAAGGGCCCCCGCCCGCTTCCTGGGGCTTTTGCATCATCTGGAGGGAGGATCAGGGCAGTGGGACAGCTTCGGGGAGAGGGGGGTCTGGGTCCAGGATCCAGGGTCCGGTGCCGGCGGGGATGCGCGCGCGAGTGCTGCCTCCACATGCTGCTCTCCGGGCGCCGCGGAGTCCATTTTGCTTCCTTAAAGGAGTAGCGTGGTGTATGATGCAATATTTATAGTAAGGAAACGTGGGCAACCCGGCGCTTCCCTCACTCTTTCCGCGGCGGGGCTGGTCCCTGGGACCCCCTGGAGCCAGGATGCTCGAGGAGTTCCAAGGTGGGGGCACCGATCCTGGGCTTAACAGGTTCAAGGTATCCCAGGCTTGGTGTGGCCCTCGGGTGGGACCTTCCCTTACATGGCGCTCCCACAGCTACCCACCCCGCCACGAGGCCCGGCGATGTGTCACCCATGCGATCGTGGCTCGAATTTCCTTCCTTTATTCTGTCCATTTCCAGCCACCCGGGTTATCCCGAGTCAGGTGGGCGGCCTTCCGGACGAGCTCCATACGGAACCTAGCCCCAGCTGTCGCTGCATCTGCAGCTGCCACATGCACCTGGTCACTAACCCAAGGTCGCCCTCCGCCCCTCTCCATTTTGTTCAGTACAGGAAGGTCTTCCTAGGTGGCCTCGACGACTCTCTAATTTGACTCACTTAGGCCTATCTAGCGCTGACTTAAGGACTGGTAGGGGGTGGGAATAGGGGGGTAGGAGAGTGGGTAGCCTACTTCACGTTTAAGTAGCATTATCATTTTCTTTTTTGCCCAGTAAAACTTCACAGACTCAAGTTAGATTATGATTAAAAAACCTGCTTGTGCAAAGGACAGGTCACCGTAATTATGGCTTTTGTTACTACTTCTGTGAACAATTTTAGTCCCTTCCCTTTTTCAGTGGGTGTGGAAGGTAGGAGTTGTTTAACTTCACTTATTAGGACAAGGAGCATGTGCTTTCAGTATAAGAGCTACGTTTACTCATGGTAAACTACGTTTACTCATTCCCATGCTTTCAAAAGTAGTAAAAACTCGTGAGTTGGGTTTGGTTTCCTTGTGTAGGTATAAGAGAAGGTTGCTCTGTTTTACATTTTATTTTTTACGACTGGAATACGACCTACATTGTTTTCCTTTTTGTATTTTCATGTGGAACTTTAATTAGTCTTTCAATTTTATCTTAAAACATCTAGCAGGTGAATTTTCTTAAATAATTGCAACTGTGCTCTATTTATTCCCATGACATTTTCAGTTGGTCTCAGTGGAAAACAGCATCTTTATGGAAACATATCCTTTTGTCATTAAAACAAAAGAGCTTAAAGAAACTTGTACCGGGAACTTGGTAGGCAAAAAGGGCTAAAACAAGCAAAATGTTTTAAAATTGAATCTGATATGTCACAAGGTTATGTCTGTCCATTAAAAAATAAGTTTCAATTTGCAGATTAATCAAGGAGATTGTAAATGGAAATGTAATAATGATGGCATGAAAAGACAGGACAGTTTTTGTTAATATTTGTTAAATAATGTGTTGTAGTTTAATTATCTGAAAGTGGATCAGAATGGTATTTATTAAATGCCTCTCAAGCACTTGGTTGCCCTGCTCCACAGAGAAACTTGAAAGACAAGTCTCTGACCCTAGGTGCTTGAATTCTAAGAGAGACAGACATATGTCAACTATTTCGAAAGAGGTCTATCTACCCAGTGAGTAGATACTGAGTTACTATCTGTAGTGTCTTAAATCAAGTGCTTTGAAAATTAATTTTGCCAGTTTTTAAGATTCCAGATTTTCAAATGGACCATTTCTATACCATTCAATTCATTAAATGTCCTAGAAAGAATATGGGCTTATTTAATCCAGTGAAGAGTTTTAAATAGGAAGTGCTCCTACTTAGACAGAAAGGTGAATCTCTTATTCATGGGCACTTTCCCTAATTTTAGTCTTTGGATTTTTGTGGCAACCTATAACATAATAGAAAATTAGGATATTAGAGACAATGAGAGACTCACTCCTGTCTCAGGGCCACGTTTAATATCTTATTTCTACTGGAGCTTACCATTTGTTTTCAGACTTATTTCCTATCTTTGAGGAAAGTCAGACTTATCTGGTTTATATTCCTTGCAATTCAGCAGGTCGTTATTAAGGTCCTGGTGTATGTTGGACCCAGTGTTAGGGGCTTGGGGGTTTGGGGGGGTAGAAATGAAGTGTTAATTCTAGGAGAGCCAGAGTTGATTTTTTTTTTAAACTTCGGTCCCTTTCCCCAAGGCTAGCACTCTATGCACATGCCTCTTGTTCTAACCATTCAAGATAGAAGTCAGTAGCACCCACTCATTATTCTATTCACCTTTTCCCCCTCAGCCTCTTCCCAAGGATGTCCTTGGCCCCAGGAAATGGGTCTTTTTTGAAATTTTATCTCCATTGCTTAGCCCTGTGCTTGGTATATGGTAGGTGCTTATTAAATGATTGTTGATTGATCCATCAGTCAGGTAAGAGTAGTTAGAGTACAAAGATTTGAGTTCCAGTCAGAATTTTAACACCTGTCATTCTATTCATCAAGCATTCCATGATGGCAGCTAGTTGGTGTAGTAGATAGAGCGCTAAGCCTGGAGTCAGGAAGACTCATCTTCCTGAGTTCAAATCTGGCCTCAAGACACCACATTGGGAAAGTTACTTAACCCCTATTTGCCTCAGTTTCTTCATCTGTAAAATGAACTGGAGAAGGAAATGGCAAACCAGTCCAGTATCTCTGCTAAGAAAATCCCATATGGGGTCATGAAGAGTAGGACGTGACTGAAACAACTGAACAATGATGTTCTGTGGTGAATGCTGACAGCATGCACCATGGATAATCGGTTTTGAGATAGAGGGAAACTTAGGGGTCATTTACCCCTTAATTTTACAGATGGAGAATGTGAGGCTCAGAGGTGTGAAAGTCACATATGACTTGCCTTAAGGTCACACTGTAAATGGCATTTGAACCTTGGTTTTCTGACTTAGTCTAGCTTCTGTTCAACATTGATTAAATGCCTACTGTATGCTAGTTCTAGGGGTATAAAGACAAAAATGAAATAGTCCTTGCTTTCAATGTACTTGGATTCTATTGAGGAAAACAACTTGTTGACATATGTACATATATAGACACACACACCCACCCCACACAATAAATGTAATCACCCTGTTGCCCACAGAGGGCCCCAGTCACCTCCTTTGTTACAACTATGGCTACCATTGGGGATTATGGACCTTGGTGGAAACAGCTTAGCACATGGGGTGAAGATGAGATGGTGGGAAAGAACCTTTTAGAAGGTCTTTGGTTGAATATAATACCATCTTAGTTATCAAATATAAAACACTCTGATCAGTCACCTATTTTAAAGCAGGAGGGCTGGAGCTGATAACCTCTTTTGCCCCTGGTTACCACATAGCTGGTAAGTGTCTGAGGCTGGATTTGCACTTGGGTCCTCCTGACTCCAGGGCTGGCGCTCTACCCACTGTGCCACTAATGACATCATATTTAAAATTATCTAACTTTCAGGTAAGGTTAAAATTTTCTCAGTTATTTAGCTTTCCTGGAATTTTTTTTCCCCGGTAAGTAACAGTAACAATATGATCAAATACTTATAGATTTGTGATTTCACAGATTTAGATATTCTGTCTAGCTATGCAGATTGCAACTCATCCATGCTTGTCTATTTGGTGAGACCCTTGACTGTGTCCACCCTTAAGTCCCACAGTAGGGTCATCTTTGGAGGGCCATCTTTGCTTTTTTCTGACATCTTCAAGATATCAGTGGGAGCACTCCTATGAAATACCTTTCATCCCTTTTCTCTGCCAAGTGACCAGCCCATTTTCTTTGCCTAGCATACATTTCTTTTTACTTTATAATGATAAAATAACAATAACAAAATAATGACTCAGTGTGTTATAGTGTATAACTGCTTTCTGTTGAACTTTGTAAGGTAAATAAGTAGTGCCGGAATCATTTACAATTGAGGAAAGTGAGGCTTTTGAGAAATTAAACGATTTAACCACAGTCACCTCGCTTAGAGGTGTTGGAACATTGTACTCTTGGAACTGAAACCCAGGTCTTCTCCAAAGCTGTCATACCATGTTGCCTGTTTTTGATAAACCTTTGGGGACTTTCTCTTTAAATCACTGTGTCCTTATTTTTCCCCTTGTGTCTCGAGAAGTCTTTGAAAGAAATCATATTGGAACCTTAATTTGAAAAAGAAATATTTAATTTTTTATGACCTATCAATGTTTTGGGAGATTTGCAGGTTGTTAGAATTTTTTTTTTCTTGATCTAGCCTGTAAGGCAATAATTCACTGGTGGCAGTATTTGCAAAATTGTGTTTACTCGATTCTTATTGTTAGGAGTATTTCACCGTGGCAACATGCTGGCTGTAGGAAAGATTTGCTGAACAAAGTAATAGACTTGATTGTAAAGCTTGCCTAGTGAAAACTGAGAAGAAAGTTTGTGAGTTGGTTGTTTGTGAAGTTAACAGCTTGGCTTTTTTGAGCCTGAAAAACTGAAGAGTTTAATTGTACTTTTGATGAACAAATAAAACTTACAGTAACTGAATAATAATTATCATAATTGAAAGAAGATGAATTTTGAAGATTTTAATGTTAATGATTACAATTCCTTTTGAAATGTCTGAACTTCTAGGTGTAAGAAACAATGAAAAGTAAGATTTGAGTAGAAAATGCATGAAATTGGAAGTCATTGAATCTCAGTGTTGGTAGGGACCTCAGAGATCATAGTCCAGTGTCTATAAGGTCAATACTGTTTTCATCATAATATTAAGATGTTTTAATTTCTAATATGGTAATTATCAATAAATATAACCCATATTTGA